TAGCCCAGAAACAGGACAATAAAGAACATGTTATTGCCTATGCGAGCCACACCCTAAGTCCCTCAGAAAGGAAATGGTCAACTTTTGATCGGGAACTGTTTGCAGTTGTTTGGTCTGTGAGACATTTTAAACACTTTCTTTCAGGCAGTTCCTTTGTGGTGATCTCAGATCATTGGCCTCTACTGAGCCTGAAGAAAACCCCAGTGGATAACGACCCCACAGGTAGACGCAGTAGATGGATCCTTGAACTGGATGTCTATGACTACACTATCACACATCGGGCAGGTAAACAGCATGCCAACGCTGATGCCTTGTCCAGGCGTCCCAATACAAACAACATTGACAAAACTGAGCAGTGTGTTACTGTGGCTGTCACTGACACACATACTGCTGCGGACACTGACACAGATGACAATCTAACTCAGGACGTTGGCAGTACACTGTCTATTGACTCTGACCACTTAAAACGACAGCAACAAAATGATGAATGTCTTAGTACGGTCATTTCCTGGGTACAAGACAGTGCAAACAGGCCCCCTATTGGTAAACTGAGGAACTCCTCTCCTTCATTGAGAAAACTGTGGCATGAGTATCCCAACCTTACCATTAGACAGGGGATTCTCTGTAGAAAGATTAAACGGAGTCCCCACTCACCTGTGAACTTTCAAGTTGTTCTGCCAAAAGCACTTGTCCCCACAGCATTAAGTGCCTTACATGGGAATCAGCTGAGCGGGCATTTGAATGCAGAACGCACACTTCAGAGAGCTAGACGTATCTGTTGCTGGCCTTACATTGCTCGTGATGTGCACACTTTTTGTACTGAATGCCTCCCTTGTCAAAAAAGAGGTTCCCCTATACCTCGTGAACGTGCTCCGCTTCAACCTATCTACGCAGACAGACCCTTTCAGAAAGTTGCTGCTGATATCACTGAGTTACCGGTGACATCTCAGGGCAATAGGTATGCTTTGGTCATTACAGACTATTTCAGACGCTATGCAAACTTGTTTCCAATGAAAGACCAACGTGCTGTTACAGTAGCAAAAATAATTTTTGAAGACTATGTCAGACAACATGGTGTGCCTGAGTCAATTCACACAGATCAGGGAAGACAGTTTGAATCGGACCTTATCAAACATCTGTGCCAGTTGCTAGGGATAACAAAAACACGCACCACTCCATATCATTCACAGTCAGATGGCATGGTGGAGAGGCTGAACAGGACTCTGAAGGACCAACTGGCTAAATACATAGCACAAACTGGTGGTGAATGGGATCAGTTTCTTCCACAAGTGGAACTTGCATATAACTCTAGTGTACATTCAAGCACAGGGTTTTCCCCATTCTTCCTGGTGCATGGCAGGGAGCCTAACTTGCCACTGGATGTTATATTGAACTGTAGCCCAACAGTGACTTCACCTACACCAGGTACACCTGCAGCTTATGCTACTTACCTTACTTCATGCCTGACACATGCATTTGCAGGTGCAGCTCACACCTCAGCACTTCGTAAGTTGTGTCAAAAGTCACAATATGACAAGAAGGTTGTTTTTCACCCACACGAGCCAGGGGACCTTGTCCTCCTGGATGACCCAGCTCAGAAAATGAACAAACTGGCTCCAAGATGGAAAGGGCCATTTGTCATTTTGAAGCGCATGACAAAAGACGGACATCCCAGTGTTACCTATGAGATTACAGATCCTAGGAAAGCACATTCACGGACTTGGATTGTACACCATAACAGACTCAAATGTTACAAAGGGACTTTGCAGAATATCCCGACAGAGACATTTTCACCTGGACTGGACAATTCCCCCTTAGCAGCCCCTCCTGTTACTGCTTTGTCAGGGGCTTTGCCTTTTTGCCCACCTACTCCTCCACATGTGCCAACACGGACTGGGCAATCTACGTCAGCACCTGCAGTTGAGACAGCTCCTCAGAGTGCACCACCCTCTCCTCCCCCTTCTCCCACTGTTTCCCAGCCCAGTGTGGCCCCACCTGCTTCCCCAGTGGCCCATCCTGTTGTGTCCCGCTCTGGACGCAGGATTTGTCTACCACTTAAGTACAGAGACTTTGTCACATGATCTGTTTTTTTCCTGCTGCTGATTTTGGATGCTTTGTGCTCGTTGTTATTGTGCAGCACTTGCATGTTACTGTTTCCTGCATTTTCTGGTTTCTCGATGTTCTACAGTACTTAACACAAACTGCCACGAACCTGACAAAGAAACTGAATGAGTCGCAGACAACATTCTCTGCAGATGTCTGTAACTGTTATATTGTTTACACGTTTTACAGGCTTTCCGGTTTCTACTGGTCATGTTGTGTGTTTTGCACACCTTTGGGGTATTTCATTGAAATGTGGACATTTCATCTGTGGCAGAGGAAGACTGTAACATTAGATTTTTGTATAATTATATTCATTTGCCTTTGCTGAATTTGTTTATTATTTTTGTATTAAATTATGTGGTGCCTTACATATTCTTTCTGTTGAGCAATGCAGCATCACCAGCGCTGAACTCGAGGGGAAAAGGCGACGGAGGAAATAATCTTCTTTAGCCCTTCTGGCATATTTATTTTTGGAGGCAAAAATACAGCCGTTTTTCTCCCATGAGACTCACAAAAAAAGGAAGAAGAAGAAACTTAAGGCGCGCTAACCAACCATGGACGAGACAATGCTCTGACTAGCGCTCCATTGTGGTGGGAACTACAAATTACATAGACAACATCAGTACACAGTAAAATCTCTTAACACCCCCACTTGTACTTAGGTTGCATAAATCCAAACAAAAAAATAGATATATACACTGAGTTACAATACAGATGTGGATCTCTTCCACTCTTTTAGATACCAAACAAAGTATTTGCAAAGTTTCTCAGTTTTAACTTAGAAACAGGTTTGGTCATAATGTCAGCAACCATTTCCTCAGTAGTGCAATACAGCAAACATACCTTCCCTTCATTTACAATGGATCTCACAAAATGATATTTGATGTCCACGTGTTTGCACCTTTGTCGACTCACAGGGTTTTTAGCTAAGGCGATAGTTCCCTGATTATCCTCATACACTACTGTCTGGGTGTATTTGTAACCATCAACACCTTCCAGTAACTGCTCTAAATATATGCACTCCTGCATTGTGGAGGCTAGAGCCATGTATTCTGCCTCACAGGTAGAGAGCGCTACTGTAGGCTGTTTCTTAGTTTTCCACGAAACTAAAGGACTGTTCTTACTTAAGCTTACGCAGTAGCCTGTAGTGCTACGTCTGTCGGTGGTGTCACCTGCCCAGTCAGCATCACTATAGGCTACTAGACCTAGCTTCTCACTGTTGTTTCCTCTGTAACATAACTCCTTGTTTGCAGTCCCTTTGAGGTACCTTAGAACGTGCTTCACTGTAACCCACTGTTCCTCTGTTGGTCCGCTCAAATATTGTGATAATTTGCTTACCACAAAACTAAGATCGGGACGTGTACATGTTGTAAGATATACAAGGCTGCCTACAGCCTCTCTATACATCTTCACATCTTTCATCTTAACAGCATCTTCTGTGTAGTTTAATTTTTGATCACAGGGAGTTTCTCTGGGTTTACAGTTCTGCATGTTGAATCTTGCCAGTATCTTGTTGACATATGCTTCTTGTGACATCTTTACACATCCATCAGACTGAATAAAATCAATACCCAGAAAGTGTTTGAGTCTGCCTAGGTCCTTCATTTTAAACTTGGCTGAAAGCATCTCTTTCACATTTTTCATAACTTTTTCATTGCTTGCTGCAATTATTAAGTCGTCAACCCAGATGATTATGATTGTTTTCGCGTGCTCTGTCTCCTTGGTGTAAACGCAGTGGTCTGCTGGGTTCTGTATGAAACCATTTTCAGTTAAGTAGACATGCAAAACCCGATTCCAGTTTCGGCCAGACTGTTTCAGCCCGTACAGGGATTTTTCTAGTTTACATACCAAGTTGTTCCCTTCTTCATAACCTTCTGGTTGGTCAGTGTAGATCTCATAATCAATGGGGGCGTGTAAGTACGCTGTTTTCACATCCATTTGATGGAGTAACAAGTCCTCCTGTGCTGCTTTTTGTAGCAGTATTCTTATGCTTGTTAAGTTAGCTGTTGGGGAGAAGATCTCACCATAGTCAATCCCTTCCTTCTGGCTGTAACCTTTAGCTACAAATCTTGCTTTATACTTGTCGTTGCCTTCAATGTCACTCTTAACAGAATAAACCCACTTGCCCCCCACTGTTTTCTTGCCCCTTGGCAGTGGAGTAAGGGTAAAAGTGTTGTTTTCTTTTAGTGACTGGATTTCTTCATCCATGGCTTTAATCCATTGTTTTGAGTTAGCTGACTCCACAGCTTCTTTAAANCCACTGTTGTGGACTGCTTGCGGACTGCTGAAGCTTATAGGGAATCCAGATGTTTTGGATTGTTGGGTGTTTCTGTTTTTGCCTTTGTGAAGCGCTATGAGATGACTGTTGTTGTAAATATGCGCTATACAAATAAAATTGAATTGAATTGAATTGAATTGAATGACCTTTTCCCTATAGGGGGAAAACAGATCGGAGCAAGTGTGGCCTAGTTACGAGCCACTTCCTGTTTAGTATTAAGCAGTTTTTTTTAAACCTAAATGTATCTTCCACAGTATTTTCTAAAACATATTATCTATTTTACTGTCTTTACTAAATATCCCATGAACTGAATCTTGTCTATGAGACGTAATTAACTGCAATGAGATTAAGCTTTATAACAAATATTACTGCTTTGCCACTGAACTTGAATCCCCACAAAATATGACACTTTTTCAACCTGTTGCTTGTACTCTCTTTTGTATCAATAATCTTTCCACATTCATACAAACCTCCATCTGATGTGATCAATTTTAGTTAAAAAGTCCAATTACATGTTCTACCCTCTACTAGATGGAGCATATTCAAGTGATAACGTCCCCTATAATCTAACCCTGATTTCATTTTCACTCTTTTCTGATGAACAAAACACAAGAGGAGCTGAGTTTCATTGTAGTTTAAATTCATTTCGACAACAAACCTATTACAGTTTTATCAAAAACGAGTCGGATACAACAGAAACACTGTACAAACACGCTGGAGAACAAGTGCGGTCACAAAGCAAGTCACCATCAGGACATCTTCTGAAAGACAAACACCAGGTAGATACCTGCACGGGGCAGAAGACACAGGAGAAGGTTCAAGTTCATCCATTTCTAAGTGATGTGTAAGTGATGTTGAAGAAATATCACACTTTTAGGCTTAGATCTGGTTAATTTTCGCCAATGAAACTGAGACATAAGTTCAAGTACTGTGTAGGCTGAAAATCCAGTAATTGTAATTTTTACGGTTTCTAGATGATCATGTGTCACTTCAACAGGTTTGTAAAGATATCATTCCTCTCAAACCCACTGGTGGGTTTTAGGGTTCGGAGGGTTAATATGATGTTTGACAACAGAGAAACTTACTGGTTGCCTCCCACTCAGATCTGCTCAAAGTTCCCTGCACACAAACAAACACACTGTTAGAAAAACAGGACGAAACACTCTGAACCACGATGAAGCTGTGTGGCGTCAGCAGACTCACCACTGGAGGTTTCACTCCGGCTCTGCCACAGTGCTCTTTTGCATGGCAGTACTCTTCTCTGCTGTCAGAAGCCGGTCGACCTCCACCCTCGCAGGGAAATGGCTGGAAATGGCACAAATACACCCAAAACACACATTGACTGCACAGTCTAGTCCACATATAAACCGCATGACGTCCTGTTTGTATCCTGTGTGTGTCATCAGAATTTATCATTGATTACTGATTGATAATTCACCTCCAGAGCCATCATCTTCATCATGAGGCTGCGATGCTGCTCCTTCTTCACTTTCTCCTCGAAGAACTCAGAGAACCTCTGCTTCAGCACCAGACGCATGTTGTAACGTTTTGCCATGCTGGTCCAAACACAGACACAAATGGAGTTACAGTCCCGTCCAAAAAAAGTACATCTACAGTAGACAACTGCAGACTTTAGTCATAATAAAAAGCAGATCTTACTGTTCCAACAGAGGAAAGTAGACGAGGAACTCTGGAACGTTGACAACGTCCTCGAGGCTGAAGTGATACTGACATCCGAACAGAGGATAGACGCCTTTTGACTGAAAGGAAACTTTAAAAACCTCATTGCCAAACGACAGAGAGTCTGACGCCTCCAAACGCTTTCTGCAGAGTAAAAGGAGGAACGAAGCAGTGACACAGTTATTCTATGCGTTCTTCACATATGTCCAAATAGACAATCAAAGAGATTTCTAGTCATTTCACAAACTGAGGTCTCTAAACGTCCTGTCAGGATGCATTTAGAGTTTTAAAAAAAAAACAAAAAAAAAGACATCTGTGGTCTTACACGAGTTCAAAGGCGTCCGGCGTCGTTCCGATGAAGAACCCTCCAGGCTTCAGACGCTCACAAGCGTTTCTCAGCATCATGTCGGCCTTCTGCTCGCTCTCAAATGAGTAATGATACACAAACTGACAGCTGCAGATGTCAAACATCAGCTCAGCGTCGTCCAGCTTCTCCGACAGCAACTCCTGCGTACAGAGGTCACAGGTCACTCACAGTCATCACTTCAGTTGAAGAAGACTTCCTTTAATGTGTTAGAATCAGTGAAGTGATGCATGTGGTGCGGTTCAACCTTGGAACAGTCTGCAGTGATGAATTCGGCGCTGAAGATTCTCTCGTTAGCGTGACTTTTCCTTTTCATGTCGTCATACCGACTCTGGCACTGTTCCACAGACACTCCTGCTATATCTGCAAACACCAATCAATAAAACAATCCTCACATCTCTTACCAGACAAATAGAAAAATAGTTCAAGGATTCAATCAGTCCAACGTTGATCTACAAGAGATGAGAACTACTTATTTTATGCAGTCCAGGATGTGTATTCTGAATGTTTTCAGCTTGTTTGACTGATCATCAACAACCGCACATGTCCAAAAAAACATTCCAGTCAGACAAAGAAAATCAAATTCAACATGAATTGACAAAACATAGTACCTTTAAATATATAATTTGTTCACATCTCTTGTTATTGACATTTTTTTTTATTGTGATCTGAATGTCAGCTTTTTTTCCAGTATTTTCTAATAAAGACTTTCATCTGTTGAAGTTATTTTTTAAAGTAATTTTTCAGTTTATTCCACTATTGCAATGAAACTTTAAAGTTTGTCTAATACAACAAAACATGTTTGTGTAAATATGTTCTGTTGCACTGCAGAAGAACATATTCATAAGGTAATTTACTTTATTAACAGATTCAGATACATGGTCCATTTAGTTTCTACATTGGTTTCACTGATGTGAGAAGCACAAACAAAACACAAACACAAATGGAGTGAAGATTCAATTGATCTGCAACTATTTTGATAGTAAGTTAATCAGGAAAAATATCTAAAATCTCTGGTTCAAACGTCTTACATGTAAATATTTCCTTTTTTCCCCCCTCCTCTATGATAGCAAACTTAATATCTTGAGTTGTGGACAAAACAACACGTTTCACAAATCTTTAACAATATATATACCAAAAAAAAACAACTAGTAAGTCAATCCAAAAAATAATTGACAGAGTAATAAATAATGAAAATAATTGCTAGTTTGAGCCCTGATCTACAGTACAGATCTGAAAACAGCAGGAATGTATTAAACAGTAAAAGACCCCATCTAGTGGCACAACCAGGTATTACAGCTCATCGCCAACAGTGTTTCCTCTAGGATTTGTTTCAGCAGCGGGGGCAGGCTCTGTGGGGAGCCGTGGCGACGTAAACAAATGACATTTGACTGCAGATTTTACTTTTACAACCAATTTATTGAATGGCCAATTAAAAATGGCTTTTTAAAGGCTGAATGTAAAAATAAAAATAAAAAATAAATAAATGTAAGTTTTCTTTTTTATCTAAGGCTCTGTTGCAGAGAAATTCTCGGAGAGGCTCAGCAGCAGACATACTGCAAGCTGATCCCCTGAAGCCTGTTTCTCTAGTCAGTCTTCACCTACAAATAGAAACAATAATGAGATAGTTTCTCTCATTTTCCTACACTCTAATCATTTTAAAAACGTTTCTAGTTTGTTTCTAATGATATATTATTACACTATTTTTTACCTGACCATCATCATTTATGAGTCAGTAAAAGGCTAATGATGGCTAGCGTCACTTTCATCAGGTGTCTTACTCTTCGTAGAGAAATATTTGAACAAACTCATCTGAAGATGCAGTCAGCAGTTCCATCATGGTGTGTAGGTATAATTCAGTTCAATTCAATTCAATGTTATTTGTTTACCGTATATTTACAACAAGTCATCTCATAGCATTACATATGTGCTTGTATAAGCTAAATGCTATCAGTTAGTTTACTCACATTCGTGACACTGGGCGGCCCCGGGCCCAATTAACTTAAGATACCGATATGTTATGTAACAATAGCAGGCCATCAATGTTGTTGCGAAAGTCTATTTAACTTGTAAAATCTATTCTGAGTTACCTTAAGCTAATAAGTCTACCTTTTCTCCAGTAAGTTGCTGCCCTATTCTCCAAGACGACCCTCCTCTGACTCTACCCCTTTTCCACCAAGAAGAACCAGATGCTAGTTCTGTGCTGGTGCTAGTTCCAGTGCTTAGTTGGTTAAAATCTGGCACCTCCAAAGAACCGGTTGCTTTTCCATTGGCCAGGAGCCAAGTTAGAGCCACGCCATACGTCATTGCATAATAGCTGTTTACCGAACAACACTTGTGCCACATGGAAGTCCATGCAGGACTCCAGACTAACTCCTTTTTAAATTTTTTATTTTTTTTTTAACCGGTGCGACCAACTTTCTCATTTGTTCGCACTTCCCATCTTGTCACAGGCAAAACACATGACCAGCTGAACACTTTCTTATTGATAGACTCTACAATTTACGATGTTCCCTGAACGCTCCACATAGCAGGCTGCGCTCGCTGCTGTTGGTGGCCGAGGTGCTCAGATCGGTGTGCGACCAAAGATGACTTTACAAAGAGTTAACTAGGGCGTTCTAATGTCAGATTTGTCCAAGATGAAACCAAGTCATTTTTTTCTCATGCGGTCTTTTCTATTAGAGGAATAAACAGCGTCACTTTCAAGGCCGCGCTCTCGCGAGCAATTACCATTGTATTAACCCCCAGAGAGTAGAGACTGAGCAAGATAGCTATCTGTAGTTTACCGTAGTAGTCACGAGCACCCAGCCCAGTGCAGGACTCTGCTGTGACGGTGGAGACATGCGGTGGTGGTGTATTTGCGACAATAACAAAAAAAAAAGAAAGAAATTTGAAGGAGTGGTGGCTAGGATTAAGGAATGGCGGCCCGCCACTCCTAAATGAATGTAGAGGAAACACTGGACAATATTTAGGTGTGTAAGTAGCATGGGGAACTGCTAAATATTAAATGACGAGGAAAAAAACTTGATCGCCAGTGATTACCTGCACAGACCAGGTGATTTATCCCTCCTCTTCTCCACTTCAGCAGGTCTCCTCCTTTGCCACAGCCGAGGTCCAACACAGACACCTGCTGAGGTCCCGCCTCCCTCACCTGCTCCAGGATCTCACCTGTCGATCAAAGGAAGTGAAGCACTGGTTCATTATATCTTGCAGTAAGTAAAAACTGAACAGTAAAAACCTTCACATTGATAAAAGAGTACTTATTACTGATCAGTTACCAATGAGAACGCTCTTCAGCCAGTTGTTAAAGTTCCTCATGAAGAAGATTCTACTTTGACTTCGAGCCGCCAGACCGACTTCCTGCAGCCTGTTGTAGTGAGTCGCCACCTTCACGCTGTGATCAGTCGCCTGACAAATCAAAAACACATTAGCGATTTGGCTCAGTTGTTCAAAATGCTTCCTACACGTCTGACCACCATCTGCTCTCAGTAAACTGATAATCAGTAAATGCACCAGCTTCTTGGTGGGTGACGTCTCCTCCTCCTCATCTTCATGTCTCCTCTTCGTCCCTGCCTTTTGTCCTCCTTTCTTCTCCTCCTCATCCTCCTCCTTTCCTCCCTCCTTCTCCACGTCTGTCCGGAGAGACTCAAGCTCCATCTGCACACAGAGGAGATGAGACAAAGACAGAATAATAAGAAAAAACGCTCTCAGGTAAAAATAGTTCACAATTAAGGGTTTTATCATCCCGGAGAGGGTATTATTGTGGACAATTCAAATGCAAAAATAATATAAACACAGTGCATCAGCATGCGTATAAAAAGGGACACTGCAAAACTACTGCAGTAACTTGAATAAGTCATGACTGGATGAAAGGAATTAATGAGACATAGTTATAGGTGCTGTACGGTTAGATCTGAGTGCAGTGTTTCACATAATTTATCCTAAGTTGGTGCTGAATAAGTTAAACTCATAGGATTTTGAAGTATTAAAAGCTGTCTCGCTAGTAAGATAAATGGTATGTTTTAATACAACATTGAAGTCAGGATCCGATCCAAGAGTTAACAGAAAAAGAAACTCAACAGATTCCACATTTTTTCTCCTCATTTTTTAATGATGCAAAACTATGTTAGAAATTTAGGATAAACACTGAATGCTGTCTGAAACTAACGTTTTCATTTATGAAACCTATATTCTATTAGTGAAAATGCAAAAAAAAAAAAAGTTTTCACTACTTAAAAAAAAAAACAACAATAATGTAGATCACATTAGACAAGGTCTAGAACAAAACCCACTACATACAGACTGGTCAGCTTTGGACTACATTATGCTGGAGAGACTAAAGAGTCAGATTTTTGTGAAACCTTTATTCTACTCGAGTAAATGCAAAAAAAATAAATAAAAATGGGGGGGAATTTCACTGCGAGTTTTTGCAGGTAGCCCACATAAAACCAGGTCCAAACGAAAAACAACAGGTGTAAAAATAGACGGCGATTAGCTTTATAGCTGACAACCAACTTGATGAATCGTTGCAGCTCTCAATCAACAGTAAATTGGTCTCTATACTGACCTATTTGATTACTTTTCGTGAGTGTTAATGTGATGGAGGTGTTTTGATGTGTAATTGAAGCATTGATAAAATATTAAAGAGGAGTAGCGACTGTTACAGTACAGCTACTGGACACCCAAATAAAACCAATTAAAGTCACTTAAGTGGTGTAGCAGCCGAAACAAGCAGTATTTCAATTACAACTCAGCTACACCAGCGGGTTTAGGTTAGAGTTAACTGGTTTATTAGCTGTGGCTGCCTGTGGTTAAACCATTAGCACTAAGCTGCTCTGATGTTGCTTACATCCTGCTAATAACCGCTAATGTTCGCAGCTAGCAGGCTAACAGCTAACAGCTCTGTTATTTCAATGAAACTCTGGCTGAGATTAACTGTATCACTCGGAACCACCGACTGGGTTTAAACTGTCAGCAGGCAGTAAACAAACCGGTAAAGTCGGCGGTAACGGCGAAATACGTTAAACGTTACAACATAAACAATCAACTCACGGTGCTCCGGATAACACAACGCGTGCGCTCTGAGCAGCGTCCGGCTGTGCTTACGTCATATTTCTGCGTCGCAAGTGACAACATGGCGACGATGTAAACAGTTAAACAGGTGAATCAGAAAAGAGGGCAGGTTTCTGTGCTCCAGTCGGATCATTTTATCGATTATACATAATCCTCAGTCTAGTTATCACAACACGTCTGATCAATAAGTAGATCACGTTTATTATCGGCTGACGGAGAACGTTTTTTTTTTCCACCAACGCTATCACATCTGCTATTACACCAAACTCCGTTAACAAATGAACTAAAATTAGAATATTTCGTCATTTTCATCATCAATAGACACCATAAAGTACAGGCGGACACAAAGGAAAGTTTTTGAAGCGTTCCGTTAAGATCGGCCAAGAAGTCAGTCACTCAACGGGAATTTATTTAATTGAAAAAACAAAAGCAGGTGCTGGATGCAGAAATTAAGAATTAAACAATGCTTAACAGACGGTTGACTTGACTTTCACATATAGTAGCAGGCCAAAATTAGGGTGATACACTCAGAACCCCCCCCCCCGAAAAAAAAAAAAATCTGATAAGTCAGCAAACTCTTCATCCAGTTTATTGTCATATCCAGCTTGCATTTAGTATTTTTAACATCGTGCTGCTGTAGTGACAGTGAATGTCCAGCAGGTGGGGCTGTGAATTCTTCCTGCAGGTGTTCAGGAGACTAATCTGCACACACAAGATGACGTTGAAAACTTTACTGAGTGAATTTATACAGCTTTTATTTGGCATATCTGGATTCATGTGCAATATTTGTGTATATTTTTTCTTTTATTTGCTCCTACAGATTAACATAAGCTCAATCATTTGGAAAATCAAACAAAACCAGTTACAACGGACATAAAATTTCTTGTGTAACTGAAAAGTATTACTTTGCACAAAACAGCCTTTTAAACTGCAGAAAGTACAAAACTCCAGCTAATGTTCTATAATGAACTCATTGATTTAAATATTACTGTGTAAATAGAATTCGTCTTGTTTCGTTTCTTTGGCAATAAAACATTGAAACAGATCAGACTGGATATCAAAAACTGCATGAAGCTCAAACTTGATTTAAACCTCAACATTTAAATTAAACTTTGCTGCTGACCGCAAATAATTATTGCCCCAAAGAGCAGCTGGTACTGAACCTGGGATCACCTGGTTGGCAGGTTTGGGTCTAAACACCTGAACTAACATAACACCTCTGTCAATGTACAATTTTTCTTTGTGTTTTAAAATCCTTGTTCGGACGCCAGAATGGAGCTGAACATTAGTTTATATGATGCAGAACTTCAAAAACTCTTTCAGTCACACAGTCAAATGAAATGGTGACAGAATCTCGGGTTAGAAAGATGCAGACGGGACTCAAAAGAACCATGAAAGATAAATAAAAATTAGCACAAAACCACATAAAACAAACATGTAGAGACTCAAACCAGCGACAAAAACACCAAACATCTATGAGACGACACAAAAGTGTCACTTTACAGTTGTTTTGTGTTACTTTTGCATGTTTCGTGTTTATCTAGTCTATTTAGTGGTTTTGTATCTTTCTGTTATTCCGTAGAGATCATTGAGTATGTTTTAGTGATATTTGTGATAGGTTTGCAGGTTTCTGTGGCCCTTTTGAGTCTCTTCGTGGTTGTTATGAGTGACACTGTGTTTGTCTTGTGTGGTTTTGCCGTTGATTTGAGCCTGATCTCCAAACACTTGCATCACTGAACACATCATAGTTTAAAACAAATACAAGCACTGTTTTGGATTTAGATGTGAATAATTTCAGACAAAAGTGTGAGTTGGAAACAAGCTAATATTGCTCCAAGCAGTAAAAGCTAGATGTTTACCTGAGCCAGCTAGCTTTCTTGCCTTGACTTATTGTCTCCCTTCAAGTGTCTCCGTGAAGTGAAACTGGAAACTCGACGATACGCAAACGCAAAGACGCAGTTTAAGTTTGGTTTACTTTTTAGAGTTTGGGTTTGGTTTTTGGAGTTTGTTTTATTTGGCAGTTTTGTTCTCACACATTCATTCATCCCACACACACACACACACACACACAGTGACTGACCTGAATCTATCCAGCCCGGGCGCGACCCAACATCTCGTTGTTGATGGTCTCCATCCTTCTCCACTTGACCATCTTTAGCGCTGAGCAGCCGCAACAAGCAGGAGAGAGAAAGATCAAACCAAATGTGAAGACTTGTGAGTTTCAGTCTGAACACGTTTATACTGAGATCCAACTGGAATCATGTGTTTACAGCCATATGTTTGTCATCTGTGCCTCTGACCTGAATGGAGACAGTTGAAAACAAGTGTCTCTGTGCTTAAGTGGTTTGAGATGTTCTTCATGTAATTAGTATGTTCATGGTTCAAATCCTGCTCTTTACCTTGATGTTTAACTTTTCATGAAAAAGAAATGTTCTATCTAACAATGTGTTCGTTCTTCTCCTGAACGTGTCGATAGTTTCATTTTCAAAGATATACTAAATAGTTGTTTGTTTCTGAAGCTTTCAGCCTCATCCTGGGAGCCTTCATGATGGATTTCCTTCACATCATTTTAGCGGTATAAAACTGAGTGAGTGAATCCATTAAAGAAGGCTAGCAGATGTGGCTGAAAGCTCCAGAAACTGAAAGAAACCTCAGTGAGCAGATAAATGTGGGTTTCAGTTGCGGCCAGACCTGCAAACTCAGCTGCTCTGTGAACAACTGAGGAGTTCTGCTGGAGGGATGGACTGAACAAAACAACTGTCACATTATCATCCTGCACAGTCTTTTTTTTAATGGATACTCAATGACACATTATGTTGATGTGTCTGAAATATGCAGAAACATGCAGCAAAGTTCCAACTTGAAGATTCTTTGAGGGGAAGAAAATGGTTCAAATATAACTCCACATGAACCAACACAAGTGTAGGTCCAAAAACAAACAAAACTATCAGTTAGAGCAACACCATCAGAATCTCTATCAAATTCTTTTAAATATTTACACCATAAAACTCAGTTAGTATTGATGCAGCCACAACATCAACACTGAAAACCAGCAGAACATGATAACAGTTGTTTATTTCAGCTTTTGCAGATGAATTGTCAAACAAACGAACAGTGAAGTTCTTAAAGCAAAAATACTGCAAGAAATAAAAGGGTATTTGTAGGAATAAGAAAAACATATTTAAAGCCTGATTAAACTATGTCTAATGCAGATGAGTTGAGAAGGAGAAAAATACATATAAACACAATGAAACTATTTTGTTCTTCATTCACCATAAGTTTATTTTTAAATTTATTTTAATAAAAAAAAATGTGTGTGTGTAAATATTCTATTGAAATTAAACCATTTTACATTTTCAAACACAATAAATGTTTTTCTTGAAATATTTCTAGATGTGATTCTTTAGTTACAATAACAAGAACAACAATGCATGATTTTTTCTCTCATCAAGGTTGAAACAGAATAATTCTAAAGTTTTTGGTGTTTAAATTTTCTTTTTTTAGTTAGCATTTTTAAGTCACTGTTTCTGACGTAATGTCAAATGTTAGTTAAAACCCCAGTTGAACTGACTTTATTCTGGATTTAATGGAAACATTTAGACAGCAAGACTTGTTTCTGTCACAGCAATATATGAAAACAAGTGACTTGATGAAGAAGTTTTTATTGAAATAATCAAAACTGCAAAACTCTGCAAAACGTGATCAATGAGAAAGAAAGAGACAGACAAGAAGCAAGAGGCAGAGTTAATGACTGCAGCCGAGTGAGACCAGTGTGATGTTCCACTGAGGGAGGTCAGGACTGGGAACACTGGTCTCTCCTCAGTGTCTCTGAGACCGGAGTCTGGGAGCCCTGGGTGGCCTCACAGCTCACAGAGCCC